AAACTTAAGTGCCTAGAACTGTACATAATACCCCAAATATAGTCTGACAACAGCAGAAAACAGTGGGACTATCACGTCCTTATATCTAGAGGCTATGACTCTCATCATGTTTCCCCCATCTGTAACTGTGAAGTTGATTTTTTAAGCTAAGTTTAAGACTATATTTATTTCCATTGCATTTTACAAGAGTCTGCCCCATTGCTTTTCTTGTCAAGATTATTTTGAATCCTGCTTCTCATTCCCTGTTGGGTTCCTTTAAGTCCCGCCTAAAATCCCACCTTCTACAGGAAGACTTTCCTAATTAATTCCAGTGCTTTCCCTCTTTTAAATTATTTGCTTTTTATCCAATATAGCTTGCTTTGTGTGTATTTGTTTTCATGTTGTCTACTCCACTGTAAGCTTGAAAGCTTACAAGAAGATTGTAAGCTCCTTGAGGACAGGGACTGAATTTCTCTCCTTTTGTATCCCCAACACTTAACAGTGCCTGGCACATAGCAGGCACTTAATAAATGTTGATTGATTGATTGATTGAAAGACAAAGTTTCACAGAGGGAAGAGAGAATGTTGTTAGAAATGAGTTGTGCTTTAAAAAACTCCACACTAACAGGAGTCATGAAAAGATGGTGCCAGCTCTGTGAACTCCCAACTCAGAGTCACAAGAAAGATCTAACCAAAGCTAGGGCAGGCATATTAAAGTGCCGATGACTTGTGGGAAGGAAAAGAAGTACTGAATGTAAGTGGAAAGTAATGTTGAGGACATGAAGGAGTTAAGTGACTTTCAAGACAAGGGGAATTGACTGAGGAGGATCAGAGAGAAAATAGAACTGTGATCTGCCACCTTAATCTCCCCCAAACTCTTCAGTCTGGTAATTCCTGATGCTTAAATGGAGAGTTTTACCCCTGGCTACAGAAATCTAAGCACTGCCTTTATCACCCCACCCCCAGCACCCTTTCAGAGATCTATGGTCCACCTAACCATTCTCTGACCCCAAGGGTTACTCCCTTCCCCAGCTCCTCAACCTCCCACAAAGGTATGTCAGGGCATTTTCCCTTCACCCAGTCTCATAAACCATTGCTCCAGTGAACTGGTAGTAATAGGACCCTACTGTGGGTTTGATTTACCAGAACAGAGAAAATAAATTGAGAGGCAAATACCAGAGCTTTTGCAGAGCTACAGAACCCTGTCTAGGAAACAAGGAATTTCTGTGCAGCTTTGTATAGAGAGTGGGCAGGGCTATGCTGCTCCAGCAACCACCAAACAAGGGACAGATTAGCTGGTTTCTTTTGGAATCAAAGCAAGGGTGGATATTTTTTGTTTGTATGTTTTTGAGTAAGAATGGACAGGAAAGAATGACACCCTTCAAAGAGTTTTTTAAACTTCAGGTTACCAGAGGGTCATCCCCACTACCCCGGTCATTCTTCCTAAAAGATAGCAAGTTAAAGAAAGTAGAGACGAGATAAAAACTAAAACAAACCTCAAAAGGCCCCTTCATTTTGCCTCTTATCTTTCAGAGCCACCCTTATCATCTTCTCAGGCTTTGCTGCCTACAGAGCTCTGGAGGGTCCTGAGGATGTGAAAGGGTTGGGTGTTATTGGGACGGGTGTAAGGCTCAGAGGGAGGAGGTACGGATTCCCTAAAAGGAGAGGGGCCGAAGAACAAGAATAGAAGTCTCAGAGAAGGTATGAATTTCCATAAATGAAATAAGTGCAGTTATGGGGTCTTGATATATGTAGGGAGATGTGGGGAACATTTACTTCAGCATAAGAAAACTGAGAGTAAATATTTGATTTCTAAAAAGAATTATCTCCCGTTCAGATGCTGTGTGACTCCAGCTTGTGTCCATGGTTGCTAAAAGTACCCTATTCAGCAACTCTTCAGAGGAACAAAAAGAGGGAAATTAGTTGCCTTTTAAGCATTGCAATGGCACAACTGACCTATTTAAGATGCAGTGAGGACATTCTGAAGAATATCTCTAGAATTCTTGTAAAGCTTCAGTGCCCAAAGACAAGCAAGTTGAAAAATCATGGGGAAAATTACCCCAACTTTTACCTCATTATTAATTTTCTTCTAGACCCTAAAAGATTATCCATCCTGTTCTACTAACCATGCCATGTGGAAGCATATACCCCCCAACCCATTACACTGACCTTCTTTCTAAGTATTGTGGTACAGGAAACGGAAGTGAGGTAATAAGCCTGATACATTCAGAGCACTTTATGTACTAAGTTCTGGGTGGAAAGAGGACTTAGACACAGGAAGGGGCACATTCTCCTTAGGAATATTCCTTCTCAGCCTATGCAGCGCTCAATATGGAATCTGGTTGGAGGGAGATATAAGACATGTGTTTTTTGGGAACTACATCCTTCATAAGTCTGTGTGGATCACAGCTGGTAATGACACTACCCCCAGTACAGCTTCCAGTTGGAGAGAAGCATTGGCAGGTCACATGGTAAGAGGCTGAGTACAACCTCTCGTGAGAGAGACAGAATATAAGAAGAGTCCAGCAGGCAAGTGGAAAACTGGGAAGAAGAAAATAGATGCAAAGGTAGGAGATTCCCCCACAAGTATGTTTCTACTAAAAGAAGACTTTCTCTCTTCTGTGTTGGAATTAAATGAATGAAAAAAAATTATTTTTTCCTTTTCTTTTTAAAAAAATTATTTTATTTTATTTTTTTATTAATTTCTTTTAGTTTTCAACAACCACTTTCACACACTTTTGAGTTTTAAATTTTTCTCACCCTCCCTCCCCACCTCTCTCCTCAAGACAGCGTGCAATCTGATATAGGTTCTACGTATACATTCCTATTAAACATATTTTCACATCAATCATGTTGTAAGGAAGGATTAGAACCAATAGGAGGAAAGAAAACAAAACAGAAGAAAAAAAAAGAGCAAATAGTAAGCTTTGATCTGCATTCAAACTCCATAGTTCTTTCTTTGGATGTAGATAGCATTTTCCAACACGAGACCTTTGGAGATGTCTTAGATCCTTGTATTACTGAGAAGGATTAAGTCTATCAATATTAGTCATCGAACAACTTGGCTGTTACTGTATACAACATTCTCCTGGTTCTGCTCACTTCCTCGCAAGAGATCCCCAAGTTCCATGCCTCTGACAACTTTCTCAATGTCTCCTATATTCCCTATACTTTCCCTTCCATAGCTCCCAAAGACACCTGGACTCTTAGATTACCTAATTAGCATCCTTGGCATTCCTTTCCCATGCTTCTTTTCTATGTAAGTGCTGGATTTATCCCCATTAGGGTGCAAGTTCCCCCAAAAAGAATTTCACCAGCTTCTATTGGCATTACAATAAACTCTCTTGACTGAAAGACGGCTTGAGTGTGTCAATTCATTCCAAGCGACCCTGTCTTGGCACCTCTTTACTACTATTCCAACTACTTCCTCAAAATGAATTTTAAAAGTATTTATTCAATGTTCACTTTGTGCCAGTCACTGTGCTAAGTACTATAGATATAAATTCAAAAAAGCAAGACAGTCCCTTTCCTTAAGAAGCTTAGGTTATAACAGGGGAAGACAACACCCAGGGTCATGGTTGTCAGGAACAGAGGTTTGGGTCTAGGTAACAAGTGGAACTATAGGGAAATTGCTTTCTTAGAATGATAATGTTGATTGTTTTGATTGCTGATTCCAGAGTTGGGGAAAGGGGAAGAAGGGTATGTATGCAATGACATGGCAGAAAAAAAGAAAGAAGAGTAATCTAGTTTGTATGATCTGTTCTTGAAGAAGCTATACTTCTTTTTCTAAGTGCTCACAAACATGTTAATAACGTGTTCTAGAATTTTGCCAGAGATAAGCTCACAGGCCAATAGTTGGCAGACTCCATCCTCTTCCCTTTTTTTGAAAACTAGGATGACATTTGCACTTCTTCAGTTTTATAATACCTTTCCTGATCCTCCCTCCCCAGCCCTCACCCCCAATGTTTTAAATACCTACAAGGGTTACTCAGCAATCATATTGGGGCGTTGTTTGGTTTTGTTTTTTTTTTCTCTCTCAGTATATTAGATTGTGTAGATGCAATATTGGTGGCCTGAACTCATTGGGTGCAAGAGGTGATCACATACCATCTGCTCATTTTTCTAGGATTTCAATTCCCTGTTAACCATTTTTATTCTCTCCCTTCCAATTCAAATATTCTCTCTTTGGTCAAGAGAAAAGAAATAAAATAACCATTGAGTAATTCTGACTTTTCTCTGTTGTCTGTAAACACCTTCACCAAGTAATGGTCCTATTACTTCTTGGCTCCTCCTCCCTCCCTCAACTGGCTAAAATAAAAAAAAACAAATAAAAGCTATTATTTTCCTTAGCATTCAAAGCCAACTTTATTTCATTCTAAGCTTTAGGATGGAACACTTGTCATTATTTTTACAAGACCATTCCTTTGCATTCATTTGGTTGCCTGCTCTTGCTCCCATTTACCATACAAGTGGGAGTGTGCTGGAGCCAGCTCAAACCCTCTTTGCAGGGCCAATTGTTAAATTTTTTGGATGAACAATCAGGAATTGGAAATCCAAAGCTAAAAATCATCGCTGGATTTATTGTTCTGTTGATTATCCAGACTTAAGAAAGTGATGGAGCAAATGTTAATAATGCAGATTAAATTTTAAAATGTCTGAGGACTTCTTTTCCTAAAAGGCCGGCGTCTCTAAAATGAAGGATGCGGGTCCTCCCCTCTCTCAGGAGAGAAGAAATGAGCATCTCGGTGACAAGGCCTCGGAAGCCCAGGTCCGCCCCGACCACGCGAAAGATCAGACTACAGCGTCCCCTACAGCCTGCAGCCGCAGACAAAGAACTCGAGAGCGCCCCACCCCCACGGGAAGCGAAGGTTCCTGGCCTGCAGGAACCGGAAACAATGCAACTGGAGGCCGAATGCGAGCCCTCCTACATTCCGCCTCGGATGCCCGGAGGGAGGGCGGGCCCGGAAGGGGTGGGAGTAAAGATGCGAGTTGGGCGTGGCGCCGAGATAGAAAGTGGCAGTTGAGCGGTTGTGGTTACTTAGCTGTGTTTTCGCGTTGGGGTCTGGGCTCCTGATGGCTCGCCCCGGCCTGCAGCAGCTTTCCCTGACCAAAGGCGGGATGGGGGTGCCGCCGCCAGGCCGGGCTGTCTTATGTCCCCGGCCTTCCGGACGCCGCCCTCCTCCTGTCTTAACCCTACACTCGACTGTCTTTGCCCGCGCCCAGGTTCGCTGTCCTTTCCCGCCCCGGCGGCTCCAGCTCTTCACCCGCCCCCCTTCCTATCCCGGAACCCCCGGGCCGCCCCTCCCCAGTCCCGCTTCCTCCCCGACTCCATCCATCCCGGGCCCCCTCCCTCCCCCAGGGGCCCAGCCCTCGCGTGGCTTTGTAGGCTGAGGGGGCTCAAAGCAGCTTCTTGAAGATGCTGATGTTTTCCTTCTGAGCAGGAATCACGGATGTCTCAAAAATCGGCACCAACCCGAAAGTCTCGATGTGCCCCCTGGGTGGAACAAACCTTTGAGAAGAATCGGGCCCTGCTGGCAGTGCTGGCTGAGAGGAATGAGGCAGTGGCGCCTGTTGGGGCTTGGGTGGAGTGTGCCCCACAGTGTAGTGAGGAAGCCCCAGCATCTGTGAGTGTCTCTTTTATCCAGTTGGGGATGGGGAAAGGTACCCACCATTGGACTGCCTGGGCAGCCAGGGCTCGTCGTAAATAAGCGTGTTTTTGTAGAAGGGGTGCCGAAATTGTGGGTCAAAACTTGTGGCTTGGATCATTTGCATAATAATGTTAACCTTTATTGAGCATCCCCAGAGTGCAAGGCGATGGACCAGTTTCTAGAATGAGCCTAACCTTACTTAAGAAAATACCATCCCAGCACCTCTAATAACCTTGAGGAAACAAAGACAATCGATAAAATGCATAAAGTTTACGCATAAAATCAAAGGGTCTTAGAATCTCTGTGAAGCCATCTTGTCCAGCCCCCTGCCTGAAGCTTGAATCCTCTTGTAGATGTTGGAAAACTTTGCTAGAGCCTCCTTTTCAAATTAATGGTCATTATAATTACAGTGTTCAGTTTCCATTTTTGTTCTTCCCATTTTCATTGTAGTTGTATAAATTATTTTCCTGACCCAGCTTACTTTATTTTGGCTACATTCACACAAGTTTTCCCATGACTTTATTCTTTATCTTTAGATTTTTTTTTTAAACAGCAGAGTAATATTCCAACATACATATGTACCGCAATTTGTTTAGCTGTTCCTCAACCAGTGGACATCTACTTTGTGTAGCCTAAAAAAACCTAGGTGCAAATGCTGAGTCTGCTAATTACTACCTTTGTGACTTTGGGAAAATCACCCAACCTTTCAGTCTTAGTTTCTTCAACTGTAGGAGAGTGCTGGCATTGGTAATGATCTCTACTAGTTCTAGATCTTATCCTGAACGATAGAATCAGTAAGTGCTAAAGTTCCCTGAGGGGAAAAAAGACTTTGCCCAAAGATGTAAGAAGAAAAAAAAAATCTAACAATTAGAACTTTCCAAAAGTGGAATTGGCTACCTTAGGATACCTTAGTAGATTTCTCCTCGTGCAAGGTCTTGAAAGGCACTGAATGGCCATTTGTCTGGGATTGAGGGGATTCTTGTTTAGGTTTGGATTAGATTAAATGGTCTCTGAATTTCTCTATAAATCTGAGATTCTGTATTATGTGTGTGACCTTTATTAGGTCTCTTAATTCTCTAGGTCTTAGTTTTCTTATCTGTGAAATGAGTAGATTGAATTATATCTCTGCCAGTTCTTGATTGTGTGATGTTGTAAATTTGGAGAATTTAGGAAAAATTGATAGGACTTGTTGACTTATTGGGTGTGGTGGGAGAGGAGCTAAAGATAATAGAGGTTTCCAGACTGGGTGACAGCTTTTTTGGAGCTGTCACCCTGTCATTTATTTTTTGAGACGTAACTCCTTCTGACAAATATGTTCCTCCCCAACTTCCTGCTCGTCCTTATTTGCATGCATATATTTCTCAATGGCATGTTTTTTTAAGAGGTGAGTCAAAAGTAATTTGGTTTTGAGAGTTTGGAAAGGGGAGTAACGTATGAAGCTGGAATGATACATTGAGGTCAAGTTGTTCGTCATACATGGCACTCAATCTCCTGTCACCATGCCTTGTTCTGCCTGTCCTTCCTGCATATATTACATTTCCTCCTCACTTTTACCTCATTGATTCCATTTCTTCCTCAACTCAGCTCAAACACCACCTCTATAAAAAGCCTTTCTTATCTCTCTATTTGCTAGTGCCCTCCTTCTATCCATAACTACCTTGTATTTTTCTTGTATATATTCTGTGTATATATATATATGTATCTTATATTTCTTCTCCGTGTACATGTATACATATATATGTACATAGATATATAATCTCTTTATGTTTATGTGTGTACATGTTGTCTTTCCTAATAGGATATAAATTCCTTGAGGGTAAGTGCCCTTTGTGTTTGTATACACAGTGACTGGCACACAGTATAAATATTTGTAATAAATGCTTATGGATTAATTGCTAAAATATATGGGGAAAGTGTATCAATTTGAGGATAATCATGATGTGGAGGAGGAAATGCTAATCAGAAACACACTCCTAATGAAATATGGTTTAGATCATGTTCTTGAGAATACTTTGATCTGTTCCGTAGTTTTAATAAATGTATAGGCTGAGTTCTGATTAGAATTGATTGATTCTGTGTTTTTTAAAAATAACTTTTCAATTCAGTTTAAAAAGTAATTTGCTGGGGCAGCTAGGTGGCACAGTGGATAGAGCACTGGCCCTGAAGTCAGGAGGGACCTGAGTTTAAGTCTGGCCTCAGACCAAACACTTGACACTTACTAGCTGTGTGACCCTGGGCAAGTCACTCAACCCCAATTGCCTTAAATAAATAAATAATTTGCTTTGGAATTCAGCAAATTATCTCCATTTAAGTTTTTAGTTCATTTAGTTTAGGTGCCTGAGCTGCTAAAGCTATGCTAAATTCAACATTTCTGAGTCCCATCTATTTTCTTATTCTCAAAGGAATTTTGATCTGTGAAACTTAAAAATGTTGATCTATGAAACTGGATTTTTTTTCAGGATTTTATCCTAATTTTTTTTTTTCCAGTTTATGATAGGAGAGTCCAGATAGGAAAAACTGCCTGGGGAATGAAGCTCATTTTCCTCCTTTTGTCTCATAAGGTTTCAGCATCTCAGTTAGAAGAAGAATTAAAGGAACAACAACGATTAAAAGAAGAAGCTCTGAAACGCTTTCAGGAACAGGTGAAAAACAGAGTAAATCAGCAAATGAGGCTAAGAAAAAAACAGCAGCTTCAGAAATCCTATGAAGCAGTAAGTTCAGGAGTCGATCTCCATATGGGTTTGCTAAGAAATAGAAAGAACAAATACTGAGGTTTAGCTACTGTACACTTTGCTTTGTAGTCCTATTTGGTGTAACTTTGAATTTAGTACATGGAACAGAAAACCACATAATTAGGGAACCTGGGTTCTATTACTAGCACATCATGGACTCACAGTGTGGCCCTAATTGTATTACAATTTCTGATTTTTTAAAACCAATCTATAAACATTTATTGAGCACCTACTACACTGTGCTAAGCACTGGGGATACAAAAAAAAGAGGCAAAAGACAAGTCCCTGCTCTCAAGAAGTTCACATTCTAATAGTGGAGACAGCAAACAAATATGTATAAATAAGCCATATACAGGATAAATAGGAAATAATTTAAAAAGGGAAGGCACTAGAATTAAGAGGGGTTGGGAAAGGCTCCCTGTAGAAGATGGGATTTTAATTGAGACTTAAAGAAATCCAAGGAAGTGAGTAGGTGGAGTTAAGGAGGGAGAACATTCCAGGCATGGACAGCTAGAGAAAATGCTCGGAGCTAAGAGATAGATTGTCTTGTTCATGGAACAGCAAAGAGGCCAGTGTCACTGGATTAAAGAGTACATAGTGGGGAGTAAGGTATAAGAAAGTAGAAAGGTAGGAGGGGGATAGGTTGTGAAAGGCTATGAATGCCAAACAGAGGATTTTGTATTTGATCTTGGAAGCATTAGGGAGTCACTGGAGTTTATTTAGTAGGGGGGTGACATGATCTGATCTATACTTTGGGAAAATCACTTTGATGGCTGAGTGGAAGATGGAGTAGAGTAGAGTGGGGAGAGATATAAGGCAGGCACACCCACCAGCAGGCTATTTCAGTAATTCAGGTTTGAGGTGATGAAGGCCTTCGCTAGAGGGGTGACATTGTTAGAGAAGAGAGAGCTTGCAAAGATGAAATTAACAGGCCTTCGCAACAGGGTGGATATAGGCAATGAAGAGAGAAGTGAGGAGTTAACAGTGACACGTAAGTTGTGAGCCTGCAGGACTGGAGGGGTAGTGTGGCCCTCTACAGTAATGGGGAATTGGGGAGGAGAGTAGGGTTTGGGGATAAGATAATGAGTTCAGTTTTGGACCTATAGAGTTTAAAGTGTCTGCTGGGCATCCAGTTCAAGATACTTGAAAGACAGTTGGAGATGCAAGACTGTAGGTCAGAGAGGTTGGGGGCAGAATAGGTAGATTTGAGAATTATCCTCAGAGAAATGGAAGTTAAATCCATGAGAGGTGATAGATCACCAAGTGTAGTAGAGGGAGATGAGAAGAGGATGTAGGACAGCCTTGAGGGACATCTGTGATTCTCATGACATAATAAGGCTGCTAAATACTTGTCTTGAAATATCAAAGGATAGCCAAAAAAAAAAAATCACTGAAGTGTTTTTGGACTTGGAATTAAGTGAACAAAGGTGATACTTGTGACACTTAGGTTGGAGACTCACTGTATGCTTTCTTCCATGTACAGGCAGAAAAAGAAAGCACTGTAGCCATGAAGTCTTCTGATTCAGCCCCACACTTGACCCCTAAAAGTAGCAAAAACATTTATCAGAGCAGTTGGAAAAGTGCTATCCGAAGTACTGGTCCCAGTTTGCTACCTACTCAGACTCTTGGTGATACTGAAGAGGAAGAAAAAGATGAAAATGGAACATTCCAACAGCAGGCCCTGGCTGTAAGTACATTCACAATACTTAATATGTCCAGTGCGTCTCAAACCCAAACTATTAGAATTCCTCTATTTAGACAATGCTTTGTAATACCTTAAAGCATTGTACAAGTGTGAGTTTTTTTGATTAGGATACTTTATGGTTATAGAGTGTTTTACATATATTATTTTATTTGATTATAAATAGTTGTGTGAAGTAGAATAAAACCTTAGATATCACATTTGTGATTATAAATAGTTGTGTGAAGTAGAATAAAACCTTAGATATCACATTTGTGTTTTTAAATGTTTTTATTAAAACAATATTCCATTAGTAATTTTATTTTGTACACTTGTTATTTTAGAATTCTGTACATGACAAGTTAGTTAACACTACACAGTGTAGTTAGGCTACATGTTCCTACTTATGCAGTTCCTTTTTCTGTATAGTTTATACATTGTATGCTTAGGCTGTTTGTTGCAGCACACTTTAAAAAATATTTTATTTTTCAATTAGATGTAAAAATTTTTAACTTTCATTTTTAAAAATTTTGAGTTCCAAATTCTTTACGTCCCTCCCTCTACTCCCCTATCATTGAGAAGGCAAGCAATTTAATATAGTGCAGTCATGCAAACCATTTCCATAGTGGTCATGTTATGAAACAAAACACAGGCCAAAAAATAAAACAAGAAGAGGATAAAGTCTAAAAAAGTATGTTTTGATCTGCATTCAGATTTCATCAATTCTTTCTCTGGAAGTGGATAGCATTTTTCATCAAAAGTCCTTCAGAATTGTCTTGGATCATTGAATTGTTGAGAATAGTTGTCATTCACAGTTGATCATGATATAATATTGCTATTACTGTGTACACTGTTCTCCTGGTTCTTCTTACGTAACTTTGCATCAGTTCATGAAAGTCTTTCCAGGTTTTTCTGAAAGTATCCTGCTTGTCATTTCTTGTAGCATACTACAGCTTGTTCAGCCATGTCCCAGTTGATGGTCATCCCCTCTATTTCCAATTCTTTGCCACAAAAAGAGTTGCTATATTTTTGTACATGCAGGTCCTTTTCCCTTTTTTTTTTTTTTTTTAAATCTTGTTGGGATACGGACCTAGTAGTGGTATTGCTGGGTCAAAGGGTATGCAGAGCCCTTTGGCATAGTTTCAAATTGCTCTCCAGAATGGTTGAATCACAATTCACAACTCCCACCAACTGTGCTTTAGTGTCCCAGTTTTCCCATATCTCCTCTGACATTTGTCATTTTCCTTTTTTATCATATTAGCCAATCTGATAGGTATAAGGTGGTACCTCAGAGTTGTTTAAATTTGCATTTCTCTAATCAATAGTGATTTAGAGCTTTTTTTTGTATGACTATAGATAGCTTTGGTTTCTTCATCTGAAAACTTCCTATTCATACCTTTTGACCATTTATCAGTTGGGGAATGACTTGTATTTTTATAAGTTTGACTCAGTTCTCTATATGTTTTAGAAATGAGGCCTTTATCAGAGAAACTGGATGTAAATTTTTTTTCTCCAGTTACGATTACTGACAACACAAACTGTTTTTGAACATTGCCATTTACTATATCACCCAGGAAGAGTACAATTTATTTAGCTAAGAAAACTAAAGTACTAGATCTTAGTACTTAAATAATTTTTTGGCATTCTTTCAACAAATAAAAGTACCTATTTTGTGCTAGGCATCATGTTTATCTTAGAGAATACAAAGAATAAGACAGTCTTTCTACCTTTATATTGTGTATGTGTGTACAGGTTAATAAGGGAAGTAAGACATATACATAAATACCCTAAATACACGGTATAATACAAAACTGAAGCATGAGGCATGAATGATGTGAATAAGTCCACTATATGTGTCATTGGGAAAAATGCAGAAAGCATATTATAGATCAAAAATATATACTTTTTCCCATCATCATTTTTTTCTTGAGAATATAACTTTTCCACATCAAATTTTCAAATTATGGTAAACTTAAAAAAAAAATCACTAAAGTATTGAGTTTTACTTTATAACGTAAGTAGATAATTAGAATCAATAAGCATTTATTGAAGGCCTATTATATAGTGAGCATTTTTAGGTATAATAATAGTAAATTATAATAGCTAACATTTATATAGTACTTTAAAGTCTACAAAGTGCTTTACATATATTATTTCATTTTATCATTATAAAAATCCTCTGTATATATGTGTTTGTGTATGTATATATGTATATATATACACACACACACACATAGTACCAATTTTAAATAGATTTTATTCTCCAAAACAAGAATTGCATTTCTGCTTGTTTATAGTATTGATAAAGTACAGTATTATTCACTTCTCTACCTCTGCACACATTCAAGTATTCAGAATGCCCAGATTTACACAGCAGCTTAAGTGTTACTTTAAAAAAAATTTTTTTTAAATTAATTTGTTTTGATTTGTCAACAATCATTTCCATAAGATTTTTGAGTTTTTAATTTTTCTCCCCCTCCCTCCCCACCTCCCTCCCCAAGACGGCTCGCAATCTGATATAGGCTATATATATATGTATATGTATGTGTATGTGTGTGTGTGTGTGTGTGTGTACATATATATGTACACACACACACATTTCTGTTAAACATATTTTTACATTAGTGATATCATAAGTAAGAATTAAAACTAATAGGAGGAACCACCAGAAAGAGGAAACAAAGCACAACAGAAGAAAAAAAGATAGCAAATAGTATGCTTCGATCTGCATTCAAACTCCATAGTTCTTTGGATGTGGATAGCATTTTCCATCATGAAGCTTTTGGAGATGTCTTAGATCCTTGTATTGCTGAGAAGGGTTAAGTCTATCAATATTAGTCTTCGCACAACTTGTCTGTTACTGTGTACAACATTCTGCTGGTTCTGCTCACTTCAGTCAGCATCAGACCACACAAGTCTTTCCAGGTTTTTCCAAAGTCTGCCTGTTCATCATTTCTTTTTTTTTTAAAGACTTTTTTTTTTTTTAAGGCAATTGAGGTCAAGTGACTTGCCCAGGGTCACACAGCTAGTAAGTGTCAAGTGTTTGGTCTGAGGCTAGATTTGAACTCAGATCCTCCTGACTTCAGGGCCGGTGCTCTATCCACTGTGCCACCTAGCTGCCCCTTGTTCATCATTTCTTATAGCACGATAGTATTCCATTACATTCATATATCACATTCACAGTTATGATTACTATCTGTGTTTTTCTCTCTATCCTCCACCCCACCCCCTCCATTTATGCTTTTCTTTCTGCTTTTCCCTCCTCACCAATGTTTTGCTTTTGACCACTGCCTCTCTCAGTCCCACCTCCCTTCTATCCACCCTCCCTTTTCTTTCCCCTTTTCCCTCCTACTGCCTATAGGGCATGTTAGATTTCTATAACTAACTGATTGTTATTCCGTTCTTGAGCCAAATCTGATGAGAGTAAGGTTCGAACAATGCTCATCTCCCTCCCTTCTTTCCCTCTGCTGTAATAGGTTTTTGTGCCTTTTCCTGTGATGTAACTTACCCTTGTCTGCCTCCTCCTTTCCTTTTCGCTCAGTACTCATTTTCTTAGATCAGATTAATCCACTTACTTGGATCCATTTAACCCACTTGATTAGATTTTTTTCATCATTGCATCAAAGTCAATTTATACCCATCCCCTTTATGTATACCCCTTTAAGGATAACATGGTGCAGTAACAGTAAAGTTCTCAAGAGTTACAAGTGTCATCTTCCTTTGTAGAGATGTAAACAATTTGCCCTTATTAATAACATGTTTCTTTCTGTCCCGTTTACCTTTTCATGTCTCCTCTGAGTCTTGTATTTGAAGATCAAATTTTCTATTGAGCTCTGGTCTTTTTATCAGGAAGATATGGAAGTCCTCTATTTCATTGAATATCCATCTCCTCCCCTGAAACATCATGCTCATTTTCGCAGGGTAGTTGATTCCTGGTTGTAATCCAAGCTCCCTTGCCTTCTGGAATGTCATATTCCACGCCCTATGGTCTTTTAATGTGGAAGCTGCAAGGTCCTGTGTAGTCCTGACTGTAGTTTCGTGATATTTAAATTGTTTCTTTCTGGCTGCTTGCAGTATCCTCTCCTTGACCTGCTAACTCTGGAATTTGGCTACTATATTTCTTGGTGTTTCAATTTGGGATCTCTTTCGAGAGGTGATTGGTGGATTCCATCCATGGCTATTTTACCCTCTGGTTCTAGGGCCTCAGGGCAGTTTTCCTTTATGATTTCCTGAAAGACACTGTCCAGGCTTTTCTTTTCATCGTGATTCCCAGGTAGACCAATAATTTTCAAATTGTCTCTCCTGGATTGATTCTCCAGGTCAGTTGTTTTACCAATGAGGCACTTCACATTTTCATCCATTTTTTCATTCCTTTGTTTTTGTTTGACTGATTCTTGCTCTCTTATAGAGACATTAGCTTCCATTTGTCCAATTCCGATCTTTAACAAATCGTTTTCTTCTATTAGATTTTGTACCTCCTTCCCCATTTGGCCAATTGTATTTTCTTTTACTTTTTCTTTTTTTTTTTTTAAGGCAATTGAGGTTAAGTGGTCACAAGGGTCACAGAGCTGATGTGTGTCAAGTGTTTGGTCTGAGGCCAGATTTGAACTCAGGTCCTCCTGACTTCAGTGCCGGTACTCTATCCAGTGTGCCACCTAGCTGCCCCTGGCCAATTGTATTTTTTAGGGACTTGTTTTCTTCAGTGTACTTTTTTTCCAGTTGGCCAATTGTATTTTTTAGGGACTTGTTTTCTGCAGTTAATTTTTGTCCTTCGTTTTCCAAGCTATTGACTCTCTCTTGCATACGTCTCATTTCTCTTCCCACTTTCTCTTCTACCTCTCTCATTTGACTTTTAAAATCTTTCTTGAGCTCTTCTAAGAAGGCTTTTTGGGCTTCAGATCAGTTCATATTCCCTTTTGAGGTTCCAGTTGTGGGTTTGTTGACAACGTTATCCTCTTCAGAATTTCTGCATTGATCTTTACTCTTCCCATAATAAAAATCTATTA